TATTCATCATAAAGCATTATCCAGTATATTTTAAATGACAAATCATATATCTCTTACTAGTAAAGTCGTCTCATCATCTTCAGCATTCATCCACTGGAAGAAAAGTGGAAATATGCGCCTTGTATGAGCCAGCAGCACCAGACCCATACAGTTGAAAAGAGGCTCAATGTGTTGAAGCCATGCAATACGGCGTTCCTTGTTCCTAGGTTGTCGCTCCAAGTGACCCAACATCTCATTAACCATCCTTTCAATCCTATGCAAGTATATAAATGGAAAAGCATATATATTTGACAAGAAACCAAGGACAAGTTAGGTCAGATAAGAATAAATTCTAGCAGTGCTACCTCTTATAACCAAATGTTGAAAAAGAGAGAATGCATTACAACAAAAAGTTTACCATGAGCTACGAGGATTCATTTTGTGAATGCTAGTTACAAGAAGAACCGACATTTCAACAACATAAGGCCATATCTCATCACTTGAAGGGACATTTGAGCAGCACGCATCAAGAATCACATCTTCATACCAACCTAGCTCTGCAGCATTGACATTTTTTGCAAGATGTATAAAGCTAAACATGCCCTGCCCCTGAAAGTAGGTAAAGAAATTAAGGCCTTTTATTCAGTATCATAAACAAGTGCGAACAATAAAATCAAGAGATAAGCTTCTCGTTCACACAGCATAAATTTTAATCAAAATACTAAGTTCCATTTTCAGCATGAAAAAGCATGATATCCAACAGAGTTGGCAAGTATCAGAGATTGAAAACAGGAAATCAGAATGCTTACTTTCACTTCCGGTGACCAGTGATCAAGGGCAGTCAGTGCACAAGGAATCACCAAATTACACAATTTCCCCAAATGTGGATAATCAATCTGAAAGAATTTATAGGAAAACAAACCCCAAATCAAACCAAAATACCAGGCAACACAGACAGAACTGCAGTATATTGAATAAGAACAAAACCTCAGACCTGGGTAATGAACCATGCAAGTTGATGACCCGCAACAATAGCAAACCCCACAGGCACTCTGGCTGATGCAGCGGAGACCTCGTCAACCTCGTCAGATTTATCTATCGAGCTCTCCTTAATATTCTCCTTCAACAACGGTAGCACCTTAGGAATAATTTCCACCACCAATCTTTTCTCCTCCGGTATCAAACTAAAATCTAAACCCACCTCCTCAATGTCCTTCGAAAACCCATCGCAGAAAGCAGAGACATATGCCTTAGAGAGCATTCGAAACGCTGACTCGGCAGCAAGTGAGAGGTCTTCCGGGATCCATGAAAGAAGGCCAAAGGTCGAGGAACGGGAAGACATTATTAAAGCACATGCTAGTGCGAAGTCTTTGATGGAGGAGTAAATATCCTCCTCAGTAGGAGTGATTGGTAGTGAGGTTTTTCGAGGTAGAAGGGATTCGAGAATGGCTTTAACAGAGAAATTCGACCCCTCTGAAGGTTCATCGCAGATTTTCGAAAGAGATTGGATGATTGGTTTAGAAAACCTAAAATCACCAAAAATATCAAATTACATTCAAGAAGTTCGACAGGAAGTGAACAAGAGGGACTTACTGAATGCAGAGATCGCGGATAACTTGAAGCGAGTCTGACATCTTTGTTTCCAGTTGGAATCGGCTCCTCCTAGCCTGAAATTAACCGGTCACAGCGAGCTACTTCCACAGGAAATCCTCACCGGTGCACACTTCTCATTTTCATAGTTTAATCCAACCTAAAATCACCTTTTTAAATTCAGTAATTCATACCTATATATTTAATTTTTTATCCAAAAAAATAAAGCTACTGACTATTTATTAGTTGGCTGGTTTATTTTCATGTTTAGTCTCAAAATTATTATTCGATTTAAATTACAATCCTAAAAAATTTGTGTTTAAATTGTTAGGATATGTTCTTGAATTTAGTTTTGTGTTTAACTGAAGAGTTTGTCACCATAATTATGAACTAATTGAGAGTTTATTTACAAAATCATCCAAATACGATCCATGCTAGACGAGAGAAGGGTGAAGGCTAAATTAGAAATACAAAGAGACAAAACGACACGTCGTTACTCTGCAGGATGCCGACGGTGGAGCTTCAGTAGTACTGAAAAGGTTGAAGAAGAAAGTAGCACCGGGACGGAGTAAAGTTGAAGCAAGCAATGTGTGTCTTTCCGGCAAAGATATTTTCACTTTTTCTCCTTTTTTTTTTTTTTTTTTTTTTATAAAGAATCGACGCTGTGAATAATCTATCATAAATTATTTGTTTCTGGCTTTCGCTTTATCCTTCACTTCATTATCTTTTTCTTCTCCGCTCCACTTGCTATAACCAAATACATTCTCTGCATTTTGTTCCTTCTATCATTTGAGGCACCCATCTTCAGTTTCGATTGCATGTCAACTCTGATCAAGATCTTATATTCGTTCAGCATTTTGGGTTTGATCCTATTCTCCACTAGATTTTCAAGTGTTTTAGTTTAAGCTCATCGATTTAATTTTCTGAGATTCTCAGATCATTTGCCTGCAGCTTCTTGTTTTGTCTTCTGAATTTGATCTGGGTTTTTGCGTATTGGTTGTGTTTGATGAAATGACATCAGGAGAAGGGAGCTTGTTTGATTGGGATAGCTTGGTGGCTTTGAATTGGAGGAGATTCTGGTTGGTTGAGAATAGTCAGATCTACTCTTAAGGCTTTTAGCCATGTCGTTTATTGGCACCCAACAGAAATGCAAAGCTTGTGAGAAGACTGTGTACCTTGTAGATCAGTTATCTGCTGATGGGGTTGCTTTCCACAAGTCATGTTTCAAATGTAGCCACTGCAATGGAACACTTAAGGTACATTACTTAAGCTTCGATGTACATGATTACTGAGCACTTTTATGGGTCAGAATGTGAGAACGTTTCTAAAATGATTAGTTAAATGCTTTCAGCTGAGTAATTATTCTTCAATGGAAGGTGTTCTGTACTGTAAGCCTCATTTTGAGCAGCTCTTCAAGGAAGCTGGGAACTTCAGCAAGAACTTTCTATCTAGTACGTTCCAAACTTTGTCGAATTTAGAAGACACTCTACATCATGGATCTTGTAGCTATTGCTTTATACTAAGATTTTCTGTACTTCTCTTTTTCTACAGCTGCAAAGTCCTCCGAGAAGCCAACTACAGAGCTGGTAAATTTAAACCCAATGCTGCAATTAGTTGTGATTGAATTTATAAACAGCCTGCTCATACCGTAGCCTCTTGTTGGTTCCAGACTAGGTCACCAAGCAAAGCGGCCAGCATGTTTTCTGGGACACAAGAAAAGTGTGCTACATGTGGAAAAACTGCATATCCACTGGAGAAGGTTAGTTTAAAAGACATTAAAAAGATATTCAAATATTTAAAACCCTCTTAATCACATCAATAGTCAATTTTCACTCTCTATTTGAACTGTCTGCATAATTATCTTTTTGCGGTCGTTTGAATTTGTTTTGCATACCATTGTTTCAACATTTACATATCGACCTCTATAAGAAAGGGATATTCTTTAAAGCTACTGCATCTAAATGAGTTGGTTTTCTGAATGGCTTGAATGTGGCTCTTGTCTGAGCCAATTAGTGAACTGATGATATATAAGCTTTGAGGAACTGTGGAAGTTACATGTTCTTAGTTTTCTTTATCTATAGTATTTCCTGCTGACGTAGAAATGGTTCCATCTCAATTTCGAAGTAGTTTTGCTGGTATTGGCACTTTGTTTGCATCAGTGCTGCTGTTATTTTATCTGCCGGGCATTGCTTGTATGCAGGTGACAGTTGAGAGTCAAGCCTATCATAAGTCGTGTTTTAAATGCTCACATGGTGGCTGTTCTTTATCTCCATCAAACTATGCTGCACTTGATGGAATTTTGTACTGCAAACACCACTTTTCACAGCTTTTCAAGGAAAAGGGAAGCTATAACCATCTGATCAAATCTGCATTGATGAAGCGGCAAGTAGCAACCTCTGATCCAGACACTTCAAAGGTCGAGTTGTAAACTTCCAATTTGTGGTTTTGTTGAGTCCATTTTCCCTCTGCGTTCCCCCTTCCCCAGTGTGTTCTACTTTGTTCCTCACGGTTTCGTGATGGGAAACAAAAGAGAAACTTGCATGAGTCTCCAGCTCGTCATGCTGAACCAAATTGTTTATTTGCTTGATTCATGGAACTTCGCATTTGAAAGTGGTAATGATTTGCCTAAACTTTATGAAAGTATCTTGCAACTGTTAGTTTTGGGTTAGTACAAGATAGATATGGAGTCATCCTGTAACCTGCTGAATTATTCTTAGTTTTATGTTGACCAGTACTTCAGTTGGTCTAGAAAGGAGTTTCACTTTCTTCTTGATATCAGTCGGAAATGACACTAATCGTAGGCTTCATTACTACCTTTTAGATGTTCTTGTGGGCGTCAATGTGAAGAATGGTAAAAACCAATTATTTTTTCTACAATCAATCTACATATGGGAAGCCATTAACAAAACCAATAGTTCATTTTTTGTATTTTTAGTTCAACAATGGTAGTGTGGAGATTGAACCAGCATTCTTTGAGATTGTAATTGCAAATTATAAGCTAAGTTTTTAACAATTTAAATAAAAAAAAGTTTTTAATGGCTTCTTGAAAGGTTACAGCCTGAAGAAGCTGTTATAATAGGGGTGGAAGGACCAGTTAGCTTAACCTTTGCCATGCGGTGTACCTCAACTCTTTTACAAGGCAACCCTCTAGCAAACCAGGTGACGATTAGCATTGTCTTCAGATCCTCCTGTGGTGGTCGAATACAGAATTGAAGAGATGGGTTCTATAGGATACTACTCGACTCCTAAGATCGAAGAAGATGAAGCTGCACCAGAAGCGATTAGCAGACCTGGGCCCCCAAGCATACAACAAAGGCAGAACCTAAAGCAGACTTGAAGCCAAAAGTCAAGTCTGACCCTGAATCAGTAGTGAAGATTGAAGAGTCGGGATTGGTTCCATTCCATCCAAATCCTGAGCATGGAAGGAGAAATTCAAATGACAAATTTATCTGTTTCTATATTTCTTCCAAACAAGAAATATTACCCTCCAACAAAGTTCAGAGTAACTCGGAATTAACAAAATAGTGTACCAAAATGTTAAAAGATAAGGTTGTTTTTCCCCCTTAATTGATGATCAAGGAGTGTCTATAACAGCCGACCTTTATGTAATAAACAATTCTATTAATCCTTTCTAAAGAAGTAAAACTTTACCCCATAATTCTTCCTTATTAAATTCCTATTTTGTGACAGATCTTGTGAGGATGATACAAATATAAACCAATGCCTAAGCTAATAAAGCTTTTCGAGGGGAAAAAGAATTTGAAGGCTATATAGTTAAGAGCAGTTATAACAGGCCGGTCTACACCTGCTGCCTCCAGTATTTGACGACTGCAGCCACCATGCAAAAAACGAAAGTAGGAAAATGCGCTTCAGTTAAATTGTTCTCATTTGCTTCTTTTCTTGGATTCACTGTAGAGGATAACCCCAATAACTGTGAGCGCGTAACCAAGCATTCCAGTGACTGAGACTGGATTTCTGAAGATTAAAATTGAAATCACCACAGCGACAGCACCCTTGGCATTGCCGAGCACCTGAAAGAAGCCATAGCTCATGAATTACCTGACAGACTTTGGGCTTTGAGAGAGAAGATGATGCATGATTCCCAAGCACAGAAGCAACAAAGAAACTCCTCGTACTAAAGACACAGAATGCAGTAGTTTTTTTTAAGTAATATGTAGCCAACATTATGAAAGTGTGTTTGTGCATCGGTCTTGGAGATGTATAGAAAGGGAGCGAGTCCGTGGCCAAATATTATTAGAATTTTCAACAATTCGTTGAATAACAATACCAATTTGTTTGTGCCAATGTTTCAACCCTCTGAAATCAAATATTTTTTGGGTCGCCTCAAAAGAACATATAAAAAACCAAAACTTGGGTTGTAGAAAGTAAACATGGATTATAACTCTTCCAAGGGTATGATGATCTTGTTAATAGTAATTTTTGTGAACGTTCAAACAGAAACAGAAAAACAAAACATAGTTATAAAAAGAGGACAAACATAAGCATCAATGAAGAAAGTAGGCATACCTGAAGTGTCAATGCACTGGTGTGTTTGGTAACCAAAAAATTGGTCAGGTTTACAAAATACGCAAGTGCAGAGTTGAATAGCAGATACCAGATGATCTTTTTATCATCTCGAGCAAGAGCCAGAGTGATACCGACCACATTTTCTTCCATGAAAAGTGATGCAGGCAGCAGAAAGACAACGGCTATAGGAGCCATGTACAGAAGAAGATTCATGGAATTCAGCTTCTCTCTGAGAAAGATAAGTGTCGGAGCTCTCATTTGCAGTTTTAAAATCAATTAAAATTGTTCATTATTCTCCCAATGAAGACTAAATCACTAGTAAAGAACAACAACAAGCTCCTTACCCTTCAGAAGAAAGCAAAATTCCTTGCAGAACTGATTTGAGTGCCCTTGCAGCCGTAGCTGCAACACATATTATAAATCCAAACAGATGGAAACTCGGTTCACCCTGATGTCAATTCACACAACAAAGAATCAGCAACACAAAGATGGAAAGTAGAGAAACAGTATTTATTATGACAAACAATTTTCCGAAGGCAACAATTATTGTCTACCTCAATTTTCTACTCATCCTCCCCCCAACACCAAATGAAAGAAAGAATATGATGAGAAAAGATCTTTGTAGTTTACAACAAGAGTTAGGTCGGCCATAATTTCCTCCAAATTTTCACGGAATATTTGGAAGCCATCCACAGTCAAGCCAGTAGAGATGGGATTGCCTTCCTCAGTCTTATACAAGTTTTAAAATATCTACAAACTACACATTTGAAAAGATGTGAAGAAAAAAACTTAAGTGGGCTGTCTGGGATGCACTCTAGAACAAGTTTTATATAGGTAAAGTTTTTGTACACTTAAAATGACTCTTCATAATTTCATGGTTATAAGAAGGAAAATAACTTCATTTCGAAAACAGAGCACAAGTGAAAATAAGCAAAAAGAAAACGCTTATTTTTTTTTTTTTTTTTTGCAGGATTTTTATTCTAAAAAGCATCAAGGTACTGGTCATTGGGAATACTCCCAAAGAACAACTAACAGAATCACAATGCCTCAAACCATATTGACCATCTACTCAGAAATATTCTACGAACTTTCCGACCTTAGATCAGGAACTTACATAAGCTAATTCTGTTCAATCATGGCAAAAAAGGAAACTAAGACTAAAATGACAAAATTCGCTGAAAAAGTTGCTCAAACAATTAGCAAATACCAAAACACGTGGCATTTCAATCCGAATTACCAAGCAACCACGGGAATCAAGTAAATAACCTTCTCAAAGATCACAGCAATTAGGATTGGAAAAAAGTAGGTGGTGTTGGTTCTTCTTACCCCACTGGCAATAATGACCCCAGTAACAACAGGGACGAGAGTAATGTAAGTGAGCCAAGCTTCCCTCTTCAGCGTCATAAGGTAAGCAAACACCGCCGTAAAGAAAGGCGTGGTGGCCCCAACAGCCTGGTTGAACGAGACCGGCAAATACCTAAGAGAAATGTTGCCGAAGACAACAGAAATACAGAACACAAAGCTAAGCGCCGAAATCTTCATAAATTGAATCCGAGATCGAATCGTCTGCATCGGAACCACCTTCAACCAAGCAATCGCAACGTAGCTAAGCAGAGAGCAAGCAGTCATGTGGCACATGGTCAAGAAGATCGGGTACTTGAACCCATAGTTGCTCAGCAAATATTTGTTCAACAAAAGGACACCAATGTTGGAGGAATACCACGAAGTCACAAGCCCGATCGTGAAAAAACGACTGGAACCCTTCATTTCGGCTGTCGGTCTGGATCGAGGACGGCGATTTCTCAAAGGCGTCGGTTGGAGCTCCGATTGGGGACACTAGCACATGGATCTGCATATAAAATCTACAAAAATGAAGGTGGGGTTTCCATGGATCTGAGAACAGAAGTCCATGGGAGGAATTGGGTGTGCAAGAAAATTGAAGCGAGGGAAAGGAGTAGAGAGTTGAAAGAGAAAGGAAAAAAGAGAAAATTTGAAGAAATGGGTCTTCGTCAAATGGGAAGAGCGTCGAGTTTTGAGGATGACCGACGACAAATTGGTTTTGATGAAAAGAGAGAGATGGGAGAGAGATTTGAAGCAGAGGAGGTGGTAAACGCACAAGGAGGAACGATTCCTCCACCTTCATTTCTTCCATTTATCAATATTATTATTTTATTCTCCTTCCAAATATTTTTAGTTTTTAGTTTTTAGTTTTTAATTAACTCAAATACATATTTTTTAAACAAAATTTTGAAGTCGTGACTTGAATTTATTCTATTTTTAAGACATTGTTTTCTAAGGCTATTTGAGAGTTAAATTAACAAATTTGAAAATATGAAAAAGAGTTGTGGAATTTTAAAAAAATAGAAATGTTTTTTAAAATTAAAATTTGACCAAAATTCATGAATATGGTTAACAAGTAGATGAGTGGTAGTAGGCAATCCTGTTAATTAAATATAAAATACAAAACACTCATCATTCCCGTCTAATATCTATCTAAAGCACGAAAGGCATTTGGTAATTCTTTATTAAGATTTGAATTAGGAAACAAAATTTAATTTTAATTTTATTTTTATGAAGTTTTATTTTGGGGTTGATATTTAATACATATTATAAATTATTTTTCACCTTTCATGCTATTTGGATTAATATTGGGGCCTACAGCTTTTAAGCAAAGTATTTTTGTAAAAAAAAAAACTTAAATGAAATCTTGATTAATTTTCTTTTTAGGTAAGGAAAATCTCAAGTACATTTAATTTAAATAATAATAATAACTAAAAAATAAATATCTAAACGAACGTGTTGAATCGGGAACTGAGCCACCGAGGAGAAATTCAACGCGTTAGGAAACTACGGAGTCCAAACGCGCCTCATTTTAAGGCATTATTAATTATATTATTATTATTTTCAAAAGAAAACAGCTTTTAAAATATATATATATATATATAAAGATAAAAAAAAAAAGGAATGAAATGGAGGAAGTGGGACCCACGTCCTACGCGGACCAGACGGCTTGGTGTCGGTTGCCGGCTGATTCCACCGGAATTTCAATCTCAAGCCTTTGATCGGCAATTCCGGCTGATTCCTCCTTTAGGTATTTGTGACAGATAAACGCTCTGCCCTCCCTTTATATTTTCTTACCCAATCTTAATACACTTAATTATTTTTTAAAATCCATTCAAGAAGAGGCACATATTTATAGATGCTATAAATTTATAGATTATTTGCAAATGAAAGTGGGTCTCCATCCATGGAGATACCTTATTTTGCGGTTTATTTAATGTCTTCGTTACTCTAATTAAATTCGCGTGAGATGTGCAGCTGATTTGCTAAAGCATTTTGGAGAGGCATTTGGTCAAGCTCCTCTAAGTTTTCTCCAATAATTGAGCTTCTTAGACTAATTCAAAGGAAGGCATGGGATCCACTCTTTAGGCCTAACTTTCGTCCGTGCATTTAGAATTGTCATTAATGCAATATTTGGTCTTGTACATAGCGTTGAAATGCACAAAATTGTATTTCTTTTTTTAGACGGTGAAGGAAGAAGTTGTTTTTCCTTCCAAAAATTGTGTTAGAAGATTGCCTTTATTAAAAGCATAGCAAGCTCCTTATCAACCAAATGGCTTTGAGGATAACACTAACCAACCCAAACAAAAAGAAGAATGTTGGAATACATTCAAATTGCCAACTTTCCTTGTTAGAATTGATAGAAATAGGAAGCATCCCTGTAATTTCATTTTCAAACTCAATCAACAAGAATTGTTGCACATGTGGAACCTTTACTTCAACACAAATTCATCAAGCAGATTAGATCTAAAAGTATATCACCTCACCTCTAGTCATATTAAATAGAGATAACTCTCTATTGAAGCTACCTATTTTGACTTTTTAGTGTCAAACATTCATCAATTCTATTCAGTTACACACAAAATGTGAGACTTAATTTTTCAATACATAAAAACAAAATAGTACCCAATATTATCAATCCCCAATATTATGTACACAGCCTGTGACTCATGACTCTAATTTGAGCCATTTTTTTATAACTCGTTCAAACTAATCCACAAAAATAGCAACTCGTGACTCTAATTTCAGCCATTTTTTAAAAATGTATCTGTTTTGACACCCGATTATCAAGTAATAAAGTGGAGGAAAACGGGAATAAAGAGAATCAACGATAAAATGTGCAATCCACGTTCATATTATAGCTGAAAGCGCAAGTATGTAAAGGCTTCGTATACTGGAAAACCACTTCAGAAAAGTGCAACTACATCGCATGAAAAATGCTCAAGACAAGTGGTTCTATAATTTTGTTCAACTACTTGGCCTAGACAGCAAAAATGACCCAGTATAGAAACAGAAAATGATTCTTCCTTAGCTCACAAAAAACATAATAAAAATATAAATCCCTTCATGTAACAACCACTCGTTTCATCAAGGTTCTCCATGACTGCAAAGACAGAAAGCAACGGTAAATAAACAGAAACTAAGATATCTAATAAGCAATAGTGAAACAAAAAAATAGGCCATCATAGTAAGGTCCATATGTAATGTGGTGAACAAATTCCCACATCCTTCTTTTAAATGTTTGCACTTCACCCACAAATTAACTTGCCACTATCTCGATTGAGTAAATTTAAAATCTGTCTTCCTAAAATTATGGAATTGCCCATACCGAGGCGACAAGTTAAAATTGATGAATTGGCCAAAACATTAATACACTATGCATATCGAAAGCACAGGAAACAGGCTGTCAATCCAAATATCTTCTGTCAAATTCCATCAACTACTCAACAAAAGCTACATTCTTCAACTTGGTTCAAACAAACAGTCTACTGCATCAAAATCTCTACTACACCCAGACTTGTCTAGAAATATATCAATTGAATACAAGCAGGCCTCCTACTGAAAATGCATATCGGAGAAGAAATACAGCCATCCCACATTGGTGAACAATATGGTTATGAATGAACATAGCAGCTCAATTACCAACTACATACAAAGTTAGCAAACAAAACTAGTGCACTTGAGACCAAAGACAATCAATAATGAGCAGCATCTAAGCATACAAAGGACAAAAAATAAAGAGAAATTTATCAAAATCTAGAAATTTCCAGCACATTGAGAAACTAGTCACCTCAAATGTTGCTGGGGTACATGAATACTCTGACCCTGTCACCCTGCAGTGAATTTTAAAATACACTCGTTAAAACCAAAACAAAGAGAGGCCTTGACACAAAAGGTAATCTTTTTTTTTTTTTTACAATAATTCTGTACCATGGACTTCGGTGGCAGATTAGACTTGAACTTCGCTCTAACGATGCCACTGTTACCATGAGGCCTAGCGACCTTGCCCCAAATGCAACGATAGTGGCTTCCGTTCTTCTTCACTTTAGCCTTGTAGATATATGCCAATCGCTTTCCTTGGTACCAGGAAACCTCATCCTTGGAATTAACACCCTCAATCTGAAGTAAAGAAGTGTTTGGGTACTGGTTCGACTTCGACCTGACCAATATACCAACCATCTTTAGCTTTCGAACAAATGACAAACTATTCCCCAATAACAATTTGGGTAGTAAACAAGTGATATAGTTTCATTTTCCAATAAAATCAAGGAAAAAATAATAAAACACAGTCGAGAAACACGCAACTTTAATATTACTTTGTCGATTTTACATAAAGCGAGAAAATGCGAATGCCAGAGTTAATAGGCAGTAGTGCTTGATTACCTCTTGTAGCCGAGAATTGTTCCCCTGGTGTAAAGTCTGATTCCAGCAAGAAACATAAGCGAACGACAAATGAAACAATTATAGGGTTAGAATCATCGAAAGAGGACTTCTAAAGGAGATCTTCGCTAGGTTGAGATTACAGACCTGACTCTCTCTCCTTGGCTTCCTTTCACCATCTTCGGCGTCTGTTTTATCCTTCAGCTACAGGGTTCGGACGGCCGGCGATCTTCGTTTCACTCCCTAAAACCCTAATTCTCAAAATTTATAGCACCGCGTTTGGGGGCTTTGTTGATGGGCCATACTATATTGTTGGGCTTTAATCCTTTTAACTCCGACCCATGAATGGCGGACCGGTAGGCTAGACCCAAATCAACGTATCATCTCGACCCCATAGTAGAGGCCCAACAAACTATGGATTGGGCAGAAATTATTGTGCAGAGTTAGTCCAAATCCGTGGAGAAGGTGGTAGAAGCTTATGGAAAAGCCGGGAAAGGAAGAGGAGAGAAGAGAAGATACCAGAAAAGCCACGAAACCACTTGCGTGTTCTGTTGCTTCCTATTTAAACGCTTTGATCCCAGCGGTGAAAGGGCATCGACAAACACAGCAAACAAAATTCCAATTCTATTAGTCTTGTTTCGCAGTTTCAGCAATTCTACTCTCTAATTCACCAACAACAATGTCGCTGATTCCAAGCATTTTCGGTGGGCGCCGGAGCAACGTCTTCGATCCCTTCTCCTTGGACGTCTGGGATCCTTTCGAGGGCTTCCCATTTTCAAGCTCACTGGCCAACGCCCCTTCCTCTGCTCGTGAGACCTCTGCTTTTGCCAACACTCGAATCGACTGGAAGGAGACCCCAGAAGCCCACGTGTTCAAGGCGGATCTTCCGGGGATCAAAAAGGAGGAAGTGAAGGTTGAAATTGAAGAAGGCGGAGTTCTGCAGATCAGCGGAGAGAGAAGCAAAGAGCAGGAGGAGAAGAACGAGAAGTGGCATAGAATTGAAAGAAGCAGTGGGAAGTTCATGAGGAGATTCAGGCTGCCGGAGAATGCGAAAGTAGAAGAGGTGAAGGCCAACATGGAGAATGGAGTGCTGACGGTGACGGTGCCGAAGATGGAAGTGAAGAAGCCGGAAATCAAGGCCATCGACATCTCTGGTTAGACACTGTCGGTTCTTCCGCCTGATCTGCCCATGTTTGGATCGGATTGTAGGCATGGTGTTAAGTAAGTTGTTGGATTAAGTGGGTTTCTGTTTTGGTGTCTTCAACCGTGTTTGTGAATGTGAAATGATGGAATAAAAATGTTTCTCAAACCAACTTAAAATGTGGTGCCTGCTCATGAAAAATCTGATAAAGAAAAATCTAAAACAGCTTCTCATAAAGTGTCCAAACGCACCTAAATGAAAACTAACTCCAAACAACATACTCCAGAGCCTACGAAGTGATTAAATGGTATCGGCGGCTTTAACTCAACTTAGAACTCAGTCTATCTTAAATTGTTAAGAACTGGCTTCTAATTTTGAGATCTTCATTGTGATAAAAATCTTTGTAAAATGAATATTTGTGGAGTGTTAAAAGCTCATACTTCTTTTAATGGTACGGATCTTCATTGTGATAAAAATCTTTGTAAAATGAATATTTGTGGTGTGTTAAAAGCTCATACTTCTTTTAATGGTACGGCCTATCGCAAACTTGCGATCAATTTTGAAAGAAATTTGAGCAAATTTGAGCTCTATGCATGTTCGTTCATCTATGACTCATTCAACTTATCTTTATCGACTAAGTCATTTAGCTCTACTTAGTTCCTACTTAGTGTCGAGGTCTTTAATACAACGTCACATACCATCATTTTGATTCTCAAGTAACATGACTCAGATGGCATCACAATTTATAGGTGTCGTCGACCATCACAACTTACTCGATCTTGAGAACATGCCCAAGTTGATTTATAATATCGGGACATCTTAAACATCCATCCATCTATGTTCTATCAAAGCATTGGATCTTCCCATATCCATGTAATATCATTCACAACTTCATACCAGATAGTGCGTGTATGGTCCAACCTCCAACATATGGGTTGGGGTACAATACCAGCACACTCGTGCCACCCTGTACTGTCCTTGAAAACCCCATTTCAGAGGAAGTCGCTTGAAGCATTCGTCTCGCAATGCTCACTCTCATTATGACACATGTATGTGCTACATGGTAGCTCGATTAAGCCACAAGACTCAAAGGTGGTAGAGAGCTGACGTCGTGTCTGTCCATAAGGTGCATTTAGACAGTTTTGGCGAACAAACATGTGGTGTCGAAGAGAGTCCATTCGGTGTCCATTTGACACCAAAATTGACAAGCTTTCATATCACATGGACATACTCAACTTCAGAACCACACATAAAAATTTCCTCAAAATTTTGACTTTGAAAATCTAAATTGAGGCCCTACTCACTCTTCAACAAGCCTGTATGTGGCACTCCAATCTACTCATTGTCCCTATTTTACTTGCCTCAACTTCTCTTCAATGTCTATTTTGTGTAGTGTATTGATGACACATCGTCTCTTTCGATTATATCATGACACTTATTTAGGCCCTCGTATAGTTGTAAGTGTCACTGGAGGATCGCTATGTTGTTGTTACACCATGGAGGTCACACACTCAACTTTTAACTGTTACTCTCTTCGACAATATTCAACTTTAACCAGAAATGTCGATGGACTATTCAACTTTAACCAGAAATGTCGATGGACTTGACGAGGAGGACTCTGCTCAATTTGGTCTCCATTGAGTCATCACTCAGCTTTGACTACCCCTTCATGTGTCGATGGACTTGAGGAGGAGGACTCTGCTCAATTTGGTCTCCATTGAGTCATCACTCAGCTTTGACTACCCCTTCATGTCATCACTCAGCTTGACTACTCCTTCATGATCAAAGGTAAGTCACAGCTAACCTCTATGGGATTAGCCACTTCGACTTTTACAGCTATCCTAAACTTCACTGTTATCTGGTCTTGACCGCCTCTAGGAAGATCATTTTCCTACCTTACCGTTGGCCCAATACATTTAGGCTAAATCCCAAACGTGCAACTCATCCTTCTCCCATTTAATTTCTCGAGTCATTACATGAACTTTAAACCCTTCAGCTTTAAATCTCTTATAGATTTGAGACATTGGCTTAGTTGATAATTTCTCTCACGAAGGTAATTTCTCGAGTCATTACATGAACTTTAAACCCTTCAGCTTTAAATCTCTTATAGATTTGAGACATTGGCTTAGTTGATAATTTCTCTCACGAAGGCGATTGCTTTTATATTTACCCTCCTTTTCTTTATAGCCAAAGGGTTGGAACTGGAACTCAAAATATATGTACATTAGTAGGCTGATATTATTGTTTTCTTATTTGCTTACATTCCATTTTACACTAATTTTTATACACACACGCCCAACAACTTTAAACCTTCAGACTCACACATTGCAACAGAGACCAACAGAAACAAATGTTTAGCCTGAGATTTCAATGGATCTGATTTCAGGCTTCTTCTCTTTCGTCTTAGGCACCCTCACAGTGAGAACTCCATTTTCGATGCTAGCCTTCACCTCTTCAACTTTAGCGTTCTCCGGCAGCCTGAATCTCCTCACGAACTTCCCACTGCTTCGTTCGACTCTGTGCCATTTATCATTCTTCTCCTCCTTCTCTTTGCTTCTTTCTCCACTGATCTGCAGAACTCTGCCTTCTTCAACTTCTACTTTCACTACATCCTTCTTCATCCCAGGAAGATCGGCCTTGAAGATGTGGGCTTCTGGGGTCTCCTTCCAGTCGATGCGGGCGTTGGCCATAGCAGATGTCTCCCGATCAAATGGATCCCAAACATCCGATGACAATGACATGGGGTCCGAGTTGTTGCTCCCACGCCCACCCAAAAATCTTGGAATTAGCGACGCCATTTCTCACTTCTGCTTACTTGAAAGCTTCTAAAAGAATGAGATATTTTTCCTTTTCTTTTCTCGTTGGTGATGCCGAAATTAAGGCGCACTTCGGGGTTTAAATAGGACGCACTTCGGGGTTTAAATAGGACGTGGCATGGAAATTTTGAGATATTTCGTGGGTCTTCTGGTGTTTTCGTTCCCCTTTTTGAATTTTGGTTCAAAATTGATGCGTAGAAAATTCCAAAATCTTCTGGACCAATTGGGTAAGTTCATTGTTCTGTTTTTTGAATAAGCAAAGAAGCCCATAGTTGAGGCCCAATGAAACTATGGATTGGATCGGAATTACTGTGCAGAGTTGGTCCAAATCCATCCAGAACATGGTAGAAGCTTGTGGACAATCCAGGAAAGGAAGAGGGGAGAAGATACTAGAAAAGCCACGACACCACTCGCATGCTCTGTTTCTTCCTATTTAAATACCTTGATCCCAGGGGTGGAAGCGCATCGACAAACACAGCAAACAAAATTCCAATTCTATCATTCTCAACTATCAGTTTCAGCAATTCTACTATCTAATTCACCAACAAAGATGTCGCTGATTCCAAGCATTTTCGGTGGGCGACGGAGTAACGTCTTCGATCCCTTCTCCTTGGACGTTTGGGATCCTTTCGAAGGCTTCCCATTTTCGAGCTCACTGGCCAACGTCCCCTCCTCTGCTCGTGAGACCTCTGCTTTTGCGAACACCCGCATCGACTGGAAGGAGACCCCGGAAGCCCACATCTTCAAGGCGGATCTTCCGGGGATAAAAAAGGAGGAGGTGAAAGTTGAAGTTGAAGAGGGGGGAGTGCTGCAGATCAGTGGAGAGAGGAGCAAGGAACAGGAGGAGAAAAACGACAAGTGGCATAGAATTGAACGAAGCAGTGGGAAGTTCCTGAGGAGGTTCAGGCTGCCGGAGAACGCAAAAGCAGGAGAGGTGAAGGCGAGCATGGAGAATGGAGTGCTGACGGTGACAGTGCCTAAGATGGAAGTGAAGAAACCGGAAATCAAGACCATTGACATCTCCGGCTGATGTTGTGTTTTGGTTATTAAATAAAACATGTAATTTAGTAGTGTGTGTTACATTGGACAGTCGAAAAGGAGTCTGGTCGGTTGGTTGGGTCGTGTACTAAACACAGTGTTTCACATTTAGTCGTTGATGTATAAGATGTGAATCTTTTCATCTCTAATAAAAACGACACTATGAATCTTTTCATCTCTAATAAAAACGACACTATGGACCTCTAAAAGTTGTATGTTAAAATAAAGAAATTAAATTCATCAGACAGAAACTTCAATGAACATAAAGAATGAATTTAATTTCTTTATTTTATTTCAGACAGTGCACGTCCAAAGAAAAGAGTGCGATTGTGCACGTCCAAAGCTTTATTTTATTCCCGCTTTTGCTTCTAGAAAACTACATTTATGGTTAAAAATTTGTGTGATTATTGATTATACTTCTAGTACGATGACGGGGATTGGGGCTCAAGTATTGTGCAGAATGGGTCCAAATCCATGGAAGAAGTTGGAAGCTTATGGAAATCAGCTTTATACTTCTAGTACGATGACGGGGATTGGGGCTCAAGTATTGTGCAGAATGGGTCCAAATCCATGGAAGAAGTTGGAAGCTTATGGAAATCAGAAAAGCTGAAGGGGATAATGCGAGAAAGCCCAGGAAAGCTCTCGCATCTTCTGCTGCACCCTATTCAAATGGCTGAGGCCCAAGGGCGGAAGAGCATCGAAAGCAGTGGCGAAGTCATTGTACAGCTCTGATTCCAAGCACTTTTGGTGGCCACCGAAGCAACATCTTCGACCCCTGTTGAATGAACGTTTGGGATTCTTTTGATTGGGATTCTTTTGAAGGCTTTTGAAGGCTTCTCGTTTTCAAGCTCATTGGCCAACGCCCCTTCCTCTGCTCGGGAGACCTCTGCTTCTGCCAACACTCGCATCGACTGGAAAGAGACCCCAGAAGCCCACATCTTCAAGGCAGATCTTCCAGGGATTCCTCCTCCTTAAAGTTGAAGAAGGCAGAGTTGCGCAGATCAGTGGAGAGAGGAGAAGAATGATAAATGGCATAGAGTGGAAGGAAGCAGTGGGAAGTTCATGAGGAGATTCAGGCTGCCTGAGAACGCGAAGGTTGAGAAGGTGAAGGCGAGCATGGAGAAGGGAGTTGTAACAGTGAGAGTGCCGAAAATGGAAGAGAAGAAGCCAGAAATTAAGTCGATTGACAGCTGTGGGTAGACAATCTTCATCCTGACAGGCAGCCCATGTATAGATCAATTCGCATAGGAATGAAGTTCACCTGTCTTGTGTTCTGCAATGTGAATTGACTTTGTAATCGAACATGAAAAAGGTTTGTTTGGGTGCGTGTGATGAAAATGAAAACAATGCAAGTTATCCGGGTTGAATGAATTTTAAATGGTTTCAATCAGATCCGGCCGAGTCGGATTCACAACATAACAGTGATACTAATGGAATCAGAGAAAATCAGATCAATTCTCTTACTGATGATATGGTTGAAGGAATTCAAGAGTAGAATGGAATAAGCACTATGAACCAAATTCTTGATTTCGAGCACAATTAGAAACTTAAAAATTATTTAATTACCATATATTTTCTTTTACACATTCTTTTTCATAGATCATAAACAAAACCGAAACAGCCCACAAAAAGACCGGAAATTACAAACCCTTTTCTTCATCCTTTTCACATTGAAAAACATTTGTAGAAAACATCAAAATCAGAAACCCACCCATTTCAACGACTTACTTCTGCCCGATCAGGAAGGAGCAGAAGAACCAACCGTGTTTAACCAGAGATCTCAATGCTCTTGACTTCTGGCTTCTTCACTTCCATTTTGGGCACCGTCACCGTCAGCACTCCATTCTCCATGTTGGCCTTCACCTCTTCTACTTTCGCATTCTCCGGCAGCCTGAATCTCCTCATGAACTTCCCACTGCTTCTTTCAACTCTATGCCACTTCTCGTTCTTCTCCTCCTGCTCTTTGCTTCTCTCTCCGCTGATCTGCAGAACTCCCCCTTCTTCAATTTCAACCTTCACTTCCTCCTTTTTGATCCCCGGAAGATCCGCCTTGAACATGTGAGCTTCTGGGGTCTCCTTCCAGTCGATTCGAGTGTTGGCAAAAGCAGAGGTCTCACGAGCAGAGGAAGGGGCGTTGGCCAGTGAGCTTGAAAATGGGAAGCCCTCGAAAGGATCCCAGACGTCCAAGGAGAAGGGATCGAAGACGTTGCTCCGGCGCCCACCGAAAATGCTTGGGATCAGCGACATTGTTGTTGGTGAATTAGAGTGTAGAATTGCTGAAACTGCGAAATAAGACTGATAGAATTGGAATTTTGTTAGCTGTGTTTGTCGATGCCCTCCCACTGCGGGGATCAAGGCATTTAAATAGGAAGCACAGAACACGCGAGTGGTTTCGTGGCTTTTCTAGTATCTTCTCCTCTCTTCCTTTCCTTGATTTTCCATAAGCTTCTACCACCTTCTCCACAGATTTGGACCAACTCTGCAAATAATTTCCGCCCAATCCATAGTTTTATTGGGCCTCAACTATGGGCTTATTTGCTCGTTCAAAATTATGGGCTTCCTTTGTTCCAAAATTTAGTTCTTAATCCAGTTACCAATTGGTCCCGAAGAGCTTGGAGTTTTCTACGGCTTCCGTTGGAGCACCAATTTTGATCCAAAAGTCAAAATGAGGGTTTACATATATGAAAAAAAAGAAAGAAATGGCTCCTCCTTCGGCCATGATACATGGAACAACGATGATAGCTACAATGACGAACGAAGGGTCATCGATGTTAATGCGATACATCAACAGGACACTGTCTCTTCCTCGCGACTCTGAAATCAGCGGTGCATCTCGAGTGAAGTGACCAGACGAGTTGCGGCAAGTCCAGGAGAAGTGTCGTTGGCTACCAGCAACGATCATGGTTTTGATCAGTGTCGACAATAGCCTTCGAAATGACATTCGTTTGGCATCGGTAGCAACCCGGTTAACTCTGAGCTCGAATGCCCACTCTGTTCCGACATTAGACCCACAAGATTTAGCAATTTTAGTCACTGTCCTATATAGATAATCAAGCTCACGAGGTGAGTTTGTTTGAAGTCAAGGATTCATAATATTCTCCATGATTCTTGGAGTTTTTAGTTACAGAATTGAACCCCTTTGGAGTAAAACACTAGTTTTTTTAATTTATTAGATATCAATACATGTTATTGATATGTGAATTTATGTTGTTGTGCATTACAAAAACAAACTATGAGACCTGTCTTTGTCTATGAATTTCTGGTAATATAATTAGTTACAAAGGTTATCAAAAGAGGTGTTGAAAGTCACTACACAAGGCGTGCTAGTGGGATCGGAGTTTTAATTTTGGTCATATATTGATGGTCCATAGTTTTTTCAAAATTGATTCACAAAACATGCATAAATATGAGAATTCATATTGATATATGGGAACAGTTTTCACACTTGGAGACAAGTGGATAACTTGAACATATTCTCAGTTTTCTCTGTTTGTTTTTTTTCTAACAGGTTCTCACAATAGAATGCAATTCTCATAAAAAATCAACTAAAAGGATAATGTCCAAATTACACCAACATATTAAGAATAATTTGATAAAATTAGTGTATGAAGTATTGATTGTAAGAACTCCTACTATTCCAAAACAAAAAAAAGAAGAAGCATAAGGTGAAGTGTATTGTAGCAAAAAGAGGATATAGAATTTGAACGTAAGGTGGTGATAGTGAATAGTAGAGGGTGTGTGAGTGTGCCTACAAATGTTGTCCATATGTCCTTCCACTGTCCATCACCAACCCACCCAACATCCCACTCTCTTCTCTTGTCTTCGAGTTAAAGTCCGCTTGGAATGACTAAATTTACAAATATGAAAGGAAGTTTTGTAATAATAAGGGGCAGAATGATGGGGAAATGGGGCCTCCCATGCTCCTCCTCACTAAAGGGACACACTTTGTTCCTCCCAGAAACATTATCAATTCCTGTCTAACTAACACCCACACATGCACCAAATTAATTGGTCACACCCACACTATCAACTATCAACTATCAATTAATAATAATAATTTGAACATATTCTCATGGTCATAAGAGGGTTGGATATAATTAAAGAACCACCACACAATGAGATAAATGGTCAACAATTTTTATACTTTTTTGCAGAGGTGAAATGAATGTTTTGGAAGCTTTTAGTCATCAAAATCTTCTTTGCTTTAAACTAAATTGTTTTGGAAGATTTGATTTGATTTCCAAAGTTACAAGCCTTCCATCATGCTCATCAATACCGCAATCTTTCTTCCTTTCTTTACCCACAAAAAATAATAATGAAATAAACCCAACATGTTGGGTAACCCTAAGGATAAAGGAAATCTAAAAAGAATTTTAGTCAAATTCAACAAGTCTGTAAAACTCATTTTTAAGTCCAATTTTAGTTTAGGTTTATAAAATTATGGAGAAAAAGTGAATTACAAAACAAACAAACAAACAAAGAGTTACAACACTTCCTTGCATAAAGTGGTAGTTTAAAGGGGAAAACGTACTTGAGATGCAGAAGCCTTGCCGGAAAGTTTGAGATGGGGAGCGGCGGAGGGCGGGGGGTTTAATAAATAGAAGGGATTAGTAGCTAAAGGAGGCATCCGAAGGGATAGCATGATCCAAAATTACGTAGAAGAAATTGAAGGATATAGATAAGTTGGGATCAATGCGATCCCTTTGGATGCTTCCTTTAGTTCCACACAATAGCCTTTCATCTTCTTTCATCTTCATCCTCTAACTCGGTTCCTAGGGGAACACTTCAATATAAAAAGACCCACTTTAGTGCTTAACCAACCTTCCCTCCCCCTTTTATTCATTTTTTTTATTATTATTTATTATTATTTATTCTCTCCCTTTTAATTATAACTAAACTTATTCTAATCCTTTAATAAGTATAAAAAAATAAATATATCAATACTTAACTTTATTTTATTAATTTTAACTACCTTTAAAGAGTTTTATTAGCGTGCACGTTAGTGAAAATTAAGTGAGAGTGTAAAAATTACTAGCACTTATTTAAGATTGGATCCAAGTTGATATAATTTTTTTTTTTAATTTCTTTTATTAATTAATATTTGTTAATAAAAATTATATATAAATTTGATCCTAAAACTTGGTTTGTCATGCGTACTTTTTTTCTAATACGGTAAAATTTAAATTCAATTTTAAAATATTGTCTTTTAGTCACTAAACTTTGTTATTGACATTAATTTTATATATATGGTCAGAAATTATATAATAATCTTGAAAAGAAAGAAAAGAGAATAGATTTTGAGGTTTCCCCCTTTTTGTGTACAAGGTGTTGGTGGAATTTAATGGGTTTGAAAAACATTCCAATTTTGGGAAAATTAAGTTTCGTTATTCCCAATGCACTCAACCCGTTTGTTATTTTTTCCAGAGAAGGAAGAACAGGAAGAGAAAGAGGAATGGCATGAATAGGCAATGGAATTGGGTTTATAATCCATGTGATTATGTTTGATTACGTTGAGCCAAAAAAAACCCAAAACCCATTTCATTGTAGTATCTTATGGAACACACATAGTTGTAAGTCTCATTATTGTTAACAAATGAATGTTTTGTTTGTGTGATGCAGGGCATTCAGGCTTAGTTGTGCAGATGGGCATTAATAGTGGAATTTATTTTGAAAACTTTTTGAGTAGAGAAAAGAAAGTGACAAAAATGGTGGTGTGATGGGTTTTTGAAAACTTCCTCCATAATGCACAATGGTGGGTACCTTATAAATGGTGCACATGGAAAGGTACCGCCACAGAAAGAGACTCTCATCCCCTCCCCTCCCCTCCCCTCCCCTTATTGCATCTTAATTTAATCTCAAAAACACTCTTCTTCTAGTTTGTTATTCCACTTGGGTTTCAGTGTGGTTTTGGTTTCAGTTTCTGTTTTCTCTTCATAGACGATGATGATGATGATGTATGGTGCTAGATTTTGTCCACACTACTGAAGCCCAATGGACCACCAACCCAGACTGCAGGCTTTTGCTCACAAATGGGTGCTATTAAGACCCCACACCCACCATAATAATAATAATAATGCATCAAAACAAGAAAAGAAAGAAGAAAACCAACCCTTTTCTGCCTGCCGTATACTGCCTGCTCTCATGACACAAATCAAAGCTAGGCTTTGCTTTCTGCTCTCATTATTGCCCCATTCATGTTCCTCATTTTTCGGACATAATTCTTATTTCTTCCCAGGCCTTGTAACCCAGTTGGTGGTGCATAAAGGACCATCAATATTTCAACCTCCCACTGCTTTTTCTTTCATTTTATCTTTTATTTATCTAAAATTATATCATGAGTTTTACCATTTCAAAGATTCACTCCAGTTGAAGTTAAATATAGAATCACATATCCATCTGTGCTACAATATTAATGTATGATTAAGTGATGGAATAATTGGCGATTTAGTGGTCCAATGTTATGTACAAAGATAAAGGCAATGAATTGAATTCCACTGATAAGCCTTTAATATTTGGAAGTAAGACATCTGGACCACAAATTATATTGGTTGGAGGCATCCTCTTGAATGTTTCTTGGAGTTTGTTAATATAGATTTCTTGCTAAGCTATGATGCCTCAAAATTCATAACTTTAAGTCAGTCCCATTGTCCTATTTTCTTGCTGCAACTCTAGGAAAGGCAACCCAGTTTTGGTTGTCTTTTACATCATTACAAACAACAGACGCTATTAATTGCATAAAACTATGAAACATTTTACAGTTTTGATCTGTAAGCAATAAGCGTTTTATGGGTGAACTTTCCCCCCATAGCATTTCACATATTGAATTGAGTAATTATAGGGTATGATTTGAGTTGAGAGCTAAATGTGTATTTCCATAATCAATGGGTATAATTCAAACATCACACAAGGCTGCATGTGATTCCACAAAAAGGGTTTGGTTTGGTTTGGTATGGTATATATTAGAAAAAATGATATGATCATTTGAAAATCTTATAACCAAATCATATAATTTATTTACAAAACCACAAATTGGAGACATGTTTTGATGGGCATCAAGAAAGCATAAGCGGGACATTCGGTGGCAGCCCTGTTACTCAAAAGAATCCATTATTGTCCCTCTCAGGTTTTCTCCACCAACTTTGATATGGTGGTCCTTATTTAGGGATGCAGACACCCAAAAGGAAAAGGAAAAAACACGAAAGGTTGTCCATAAACTTTGGCTGCTTGGAAAGCTTGCAAATTTCCTTTTGGTGCTGTCATCGCCATATCTTTTACACACACAACCTGACACTGTCTTCCCCATTTCGGCCTAGTTTTGATGATGAATTATAGTTCAGTTATGGAAGGATGAAAATTTATTAGCTTAAGTTTCTAGATTCGTCCATGCTTTTTAGTATTACAACAACAAATCTTACCAAATTATTTTCACAAAGATCTTAAAATATAAACCTTTTTAGTTATAAACGTGCTAAAATCGTTTCAAGCGAGCTAATTCCACCCTTGCTTTTCCAGACAACCAAATATTCTCTGTTTTTTGTTGGGTTAGTTTAGATTATATTATATGAAAAAGGGCATGACACTATCTTTATTAATTAGAATAAAAAGTATAAGCACGTGCATGTGCATGGCCCCGGCAGGGTGCTAGCCAATTCGGAATGCTCTGAGATCCAAAAAAGAAAGAAAGCCCAAATAATTGGATTGGATTTAAAGCCCACCTCATTACATGAACTGAGTCAGTTGCCTCACCTTCGAGCTTTGAACCTCTTATAGACTTGAGACATTGATTTAGTTGATAATATCACTCATAACAATAATTTAAAAGGAGTTCAAGCCAATTGCTTTTATGTTCAACCCCATTTTCTTTATAGCACGGGTCAAACACATGAACACACAAACAATCAAAGGGTTGAACACAAAATATACGTATATTAGTAGGCTCATACTAATGTTCGCTTATTTGCTTATATTACATTTTGCACTAATATTCATACACACACCCAACAACTTCAAACCTTAAGACTCACACACACATTGCAGCACTTGCACACAAACAGAGACCAACAGAAACAAATGTTTAGCCTGAGATTTCAATGGATCTGATTTCAGGCTTCTTCTCTTTCGTCTTAGGCACCCTCACAGTGAGAACTCCATTTTCGATGCTAGCCTTCACCTCTTCAACTTTAGCGTTCTCCGGCAGCCTGAATCTCCTCACGAACTTCCCACTGCTTCGTTCGACTCTGTGCCATTTATCATTCTTCTCCTCCTTCTCTTTGCTTCTTTCTCCACTGATCTGCAGAACTCTGCCTTCTTCAACTTCTACTTTCACTTCCTCCTTCTTCATCCCAGGAAGATCGGCCTTGAAGATGTGGGCTTCTGGGGTCTCCTTCCAGTCGATGCGGGCGTTGGCCATAGCAGATGTCTCCCGATCAAATGGATCCCAAACATCCAATGACAATGACATGGGGTCCGAGTTGTTGCTCCCACGCCCACCCAAAAATCTTGGAATTTTGAGATATTTCGTGGGTCTTCTGGTGTTTTCGTTCCCCTTTTTGAATTTTGGTTCAAAATTGATGCGTAGAAAATTCCAAAATCTTCTGGACCAATTGGGTAAGTTCATTGTTCTGTTTTTTGAATATGCAAAGAAGCCCATAGTTGAGGCCCAATGAAACTATGGATTGGATCGGAATTACTGTGCAGAGTTGGTCCAAATCCATCCAGAACATGGTAGAAGCTTGTGGACAATCCAGGAAAGGAAGAGGGGAGAAGATGCTAGAAAAGCCACGACACCACTCGCATGCTCTGTTTCTTCCTATTTAAATACCTTGATCCCAGGGGTGGAAGCGCATCGACAAACACAGCAAACAAAATTCCAATTCTATCATTCTCAACGATCAGTTTCAGCAATTCTACTATCTAATTCACCAACAAAGATGTCGCTGATTCCAAGCATTTTCGGTGGGCGACGGAGTAACGTCTTCGATCCCTTCTCCTTGGACGTTTGGGATCCTTTCGAAGGCTTCCCATTTTCGAGCTCACTGGCCAACGTCCCCTCCTCTGCTCGTGAGACCTCTGCTTTTGCGAACACCCGCATCGACTGGAAGGAGACCCCGGAAGCCCACATCTTCAAGGCGGATCTTCCGGGGATAAAAAAGGAGGAGGTGAAAGTTGAAGTTGAAGAGGGGGGAGTGCTGCAGATCAGTGGAGAGAGGAGCAAGGAACAGGAGGAGAAAAACGACAAGTGGCATAGAATTGAACGAAGCAGTGGGAAGTTCCTGAGGAGGTTCGAGTGCCGGAGAACGCAAAAGCAGGAGAGGTGAAGGCGAGCATGGAGAATGGAGTGCTGACGGTGAGAGTGCCGAAGATGGAGGTGAAGAAGCCAGAAATGAAGAGCATTGAAATCTCTGGCTAGGAGGAGGGCGAGTGTTCTGCATCTGCCCATGTTGGCGATGAGTTTGTATGAATGTTGTTAAATGTGAGTGCGAAAAGATGAAAAAGGATGGATGTTATCATCTAAGTAATGGAATGTAATCATGTTTATGTTTATTTTTATAAAAAAGGATGGATGTGATGTTATCATCTTAGTAATGGAATGTAATCATGTTTATGTTTATTTTTAGTTTGGAAGTGTGAAAATTTTGAATCGGTGAACATAGTTCATCTTTAAATGGAATTTCAATGTTATTGTATTGTGGAGTTAGTTACTGGCAATGTTTGAACTCTCATAGAATCAGTTACTGGCCCATGTAAATCCGTTGAAATGCAAAAATGAAATAATTCTTTGTGGTGGAACAAAATATCTCTCATTTCCGTCTTTTCAATACACAAATGTATAACTCCCCAGGAATTTCAATTGCGCTTATATTCATCACTGTAGGAATTGGGTTCAAGCTTTCCCCAGCCCCTTCTCATCAATGGACTCCTGACGTAGACTTACTCAAACAAGAGAAAGAAACAAACATAAAATTCTTTAGAGATATTACAATATGTTCCCTATGGTAACTGGGTTCATGAATTATGGTCAACAAACAGTACGAGCTGCAAGGTACATTGGCTCTAATGTTTGAACTCTCATAGAATCACGTCCCAAACGAGACCTACAAACAACTTCACAACATGTTCGATTACAAAGTCAATGCAAACAAACCTTTTACAAAGTCAATGCAAACAAACCTTTTACATGTTCGATTACAAAGTCAATGCACATTGCAGAACACAAGATAGATGAACAATTTATCGAACTTCATTCATATACGAATTGATGCAAACATGGACAGATGTCAATCGACTTAAATTTCTGGCTTCTTCTCTTCCATCTTTGGCACTCTCACTGTTACAACTCCCTTCTCCATGCTCGCCCTCACCTCCTCATGAACTTCCCACTGCTTCCTTCCACTCTATGCCATTTATCATTCTTCTCCTCTCTCCACTGATCTGCAAAACTCTGCCTTCCTCAACTTCTACTTTTACTTCCTCCTTCTTAATCCCCGGAAGATCTGCCTTGAAGATGTGGGCTTCTGGGGTCTCCTTCGGGTGTTGGCAGAAGCAGAGGAAGGCACGTTGGCCAGAGAGCTTGAAAATGGGAAGCCTTCGAAAGGATCCCAAACGTCCAAGGAGAAGGGATCGAAGACGTTGCTCCGTCGCCCACCGAAAATGCTTGGAATCAGAGCCATGGTGATGATTTTCGAAACGGGAAGTTGTAGACCTGGAAACTTTGTATCACTGCTTTCGATGCTCTCCGCCCTTGAGGCTTCAGCCATTTAAATAGAATGCAGCAGAAGATGCGAGAGCTTTCGTGGGCTTTCTCGCATTACCCCCTTCAGCTTTTCTGGTTTCCATGAGCCTCTACAATTTTCTCCATGGATTTGGACCCATTCTGCGCAATACTTGAGGCCCAATCCATCATCGTACAAGGAGTACAATCAAGTAATTGAATTTAACCATAAATATGTAATTAGAAAAATCGATAAACAAAAAATAAAAATGGAAATCCCAATTCCAATTCCAAATAGATCGTGAAGGTTGGAGAAGATTCCGGAAGTTTCTACATTTTCTACGTTTCCTAGAAGTCTATTTAAAGCCTTGGATGTGCACAATCAGCTAACAAGAAACGAAGTATAAACTCGTTCAAACATCCACATCTTTAGCACTCTTTTTACAAAGCCATCAACAGCCAACAAAACCATGGCCCTGGTTCCCAGCATTTTCGGTGGCCGCCGGAGCAACATCTTCGACCCCTTCTCATTGGACGCCTGGGATCCTTTCCAAGGCTTTTCACCGGCTAACGTGCCTTCCTCCGCCCGGGAGACCTCTGCTTTTGCTAACACTCGCATCGACTGGAAGGAGACACCGCAAGCCCACATCTTCACAGCCGATCTCCCTGGGATCAACAAAGACCAACTCAAAGTTGAGGTTGAAGAAGGCAGAGTTTTGCAGATCAGTGGAGAGAGAAGCAAAGAACAGGAGGAGAAGAATGAGAAATGGCATAGAATTGAGCGGAGCAGTGGGAAGTTCATGAGGAGATTTAGGCTCCCAGAAGATGCCAAAGTTGAGGAGGTGAAGGCCAGAATGGAGAACGGAGTTCTTACTGTGACAGTACCGAAAGTGGAAGCGAAGAAGCCTGAAATCAAGTCCATTGAAATCTCTGCCTAACTTTATTTATTGCTCAGTTCTGTGTTTGTCTACCCTGAAATGTTCTGTAAATCTCTACGGTTATAAGTTTTGTTCAATGTGTCTGGAAACTCGACTTGGGTTTCCCCCTTCTCCCACTCATGTAACGAGAAGAAAGAAAGCTCTTTTATTAATTGTGGTTGCATAGCTAATTTGGGTCACAATATTATTCGAAGCTTACAACATACAGAAAAATGAAATGCTCAGTGAATGGCTTCTCTCTGCTGTCGGCAAAGCAATCGGATATCGTTAATCATCCGCTCCAAATCACGGAAGGATGATCCACCTTCTTCCACACTTGTCTTAGCCAATTTTGCAGTCTCAATAACAGAACCCATCAACTCATTTCTCCTGTTTTCCATCACATCATTCACCATCTGTGACACTGTCTCTCTGTCGCAAACATCCTTCATGTCCACTCCAATCCTCCAAACCTCACTCACGTATCGGCTGTTCGTCTGCTGGTCCGCAAACTGAGGCCAACAGATCATTGGCACACCGGCGACTATGCTCTCTAAAGTAGAATTCCATCCACAGTGAGTCAAAAACCCTCCAATGGCTTCATGGGCCAACACTTCCTCTTGCGGCGCCCACTCCACCATACACCCCCTCTCCTTCGTCCCCTTCTCCAACTCCTCCAGAATTCCATTTTCCCCATCTTCTCCGGCCACCGAATTGGGCCGCACAACCCACAGAAACCGTCTACCGCTATTCACCAATCCGTGCCAGAACTCTCTGAATTGACCGTCCCCCATGACCACAACGCTACCAAAGCTAACGTAGATGACAGATTTCGAAGGCTGAGCGTCCAGCCACGCCAGGCAGCTCCGATCCACCTCCCAAAGGTTGTTGAAAGACTCCGATCCGAATGGAGATTCTTCACCGGAAAGCCTGGATTTTAGGAGACTGTGGAGAGGTCCGATCGCGTAGATATTTGGGCACCGCCTTCGAAGACCTGACAAAATGGGTCCTTCCAAGTCCTCAAACGTGTTGAATATCAGAGAGTGGGCTTTTAAGCTCTGTATGGTTTGGGTGACGCCGTGTTGAAGAGTTGGATCAGATGGGTCTTTGAGTCGGCAGAAGCTTGGGAGATCTCTGCATCGGAGAACGTTTTCCATTCCAGTCACGCCGTCGATCATTCTATCCATGTCTTCTTCTCCTGAATTTCAAGGGAAATCAATCAATCAATTCACGCAACAGCAAACAAATTGGGGGGAAGTGGAAAATGGATGGTCGATCACCTTTAATTGGAAGCTGACCATCTTCAATGAGCATGGGAACAAATGAATAAGCCCAGAAAGAACAAGCGCTAATGGTCCGAAAACTAAATACGGGGATCTTAGGTTGAGCGTCAACGTCAACGATGAAATTGAAAAGGCCGTCAAGAATTATGCAGGTGGGGTTCGGACCCAATTCACCGGAAAGCAGCATCTGGGTGAGAAGTGGCTTGGTGACGGAATTCAAACGACGGATCAAGTCGGAGAACATGCCGAGGGTGCGATTTTGGGGCGTTAGGCCGTCGGTTATGGTTCGAAATTGGAAATTGGGAAAGCGAGAGAAACGAGATAGGATGTCCGAGTGGAGGGTAAGTTTTTGGTGAATACGGTGTATGTTAAGGAAGGTGATACGGAGGCCGGAGAGGGAAAGAAGCTCGGCGAGTTTGAGCATGGAGTTGACATGGCCTTGAGCCGGGAAGGGGAAGATCAAAACGTGAGGCACGTCTCCTTCTTGCTCCATGGGTTTCTACCTACGGTCTGCTGTGCTATTTCCCACCCCATCAACTCAATTTATAGCTCATATTTCTTAAACCATTACTTGGGTTTTGGAAAAGTGGAAGACTTGGAGGTTTACCAATTTAAACAACTTTCAATTCCATGACTTCAAATTTACCCTACACTTTCAACAAATGGGCAATTACAGCTTTGTAGTTTGTTAGATTGTGGAGTTCCATTTTTAAATTTGTTTATTGATACCAGTAAAAATCTTTTCTTGCATCTTTTTTCAAGATGGCTAACTAAAATAATCTACTTGATGAACTTTTATGTATGAATTCGTCTCTTAATATTTATGTTACAAATTATGAATTGTCAGATTGTTTTCACAATTTATTTTAAAGAAAAATAGCCTTTGAGTTGGCACTCACTAAAAGAGGGTTTTACTTTGAAGAAAGAACTGAGTATTGCACAGAAACTATCAACCAATAATCAAGCTTCTAGATTCTTGTCAGGATTCTTATCAAGAAGAAAAACGCATACACTCATACGCCCACACACACCCACCACAAAAAACAAGCAAACCAGAAAGAGAAGCCGGTCAGAATTAAGCATGGAGCAGGAAGAAGCAGAGCCCCATGTTCTGATGTTTCCCTTTCCAGCCTTAGGACATGTCAACCCAATGCTCAAACTTGCCGAACTTCTTTCCCTCTCCGGCCTCCGAATCACCTTCCTCAACATCCACCGTATCCACCAAACCCTCGTTCTTCACACAAACCTCCAATCTCGTTTCTCTCGATTTCCCAAATTCCGATTCCAAACCATCACCGACGGCCTTCCCCCTAACTACACCGGCGGCTTGACCAAGCTCTCTGAATTGACTCACAGCATGGAAGCCGTAACCAAGCCCCTTCTCAGACAGATGCTGGTCTCTCGTCAACTGGGTCCCATTCCGACCTGCATAATTCTTGATGGGTTTTTCAGTTTCATGGTTGATGTTGACGCTGAGCCTAAAATCCCAGTTTTCTGTTTTCGTACTGTCAGTGCTTGTTCTTTTTGGGCTTATTCATCTATTCCCAGACTCATCGAAGATGGTCAGCTGCCTGTGAAAGGTAATCAATCGACAATCGATTTTCCAATTCCCCCATTCTGCTTGCTGCTGATCGACTTAATGGATTTCCATTGAAATTCAGGGGAAGAGGACATGGATAGAATGATCGAAGGCGTGGCTGGAATGGAAAATATTCTCCGATGCAGAGATCTTCCAAGCTTCAGCCGAGTGGGGGACCAAACGGATCCGATCCTTCAATACAGCGTGAACCAAACCATACAAAGCTCTAAAGCTCACTCTCTGATATTGAACACATTTGAGGACTTGGAAGGCCCCATTCTATCTCGTCTACGGAGCCGATGCCCAAATGTCTACGCAATCGGACCTCTTCATGCCCACCTGAAATCAAGACTATCCGGTGAAATAACTCGGCCGGAACCGGAGTCTTCGAACGGCTATTGGAAGGTGGATCGGAGCTGCCTGGCATGGCTCGACGCTCAGCCTTCGAAATCTGTCGTCTACGTTAGCTTTGGAAGCGTTACGGTCATGGGGGATCGCCAATTTAGGGAGTTTTGGCACGGATTGGTGGATAGTGGGAGGCGGTTTCTGTGGGTTGTGCGGCCCAATTTGGTGGGCGGAAAAGATGGGGAAAATGGGATTCCAGCGGAGTTGGTGGAGGGGACGAAGGAAAGGGGGTGTATGGTGGGTTGGGCTCCGCAAGAGGAAGTGTTGCGACATGAAGCCATTGGAGGGTTTCTGACTCACTGTGGGTGGAATTCGACATTAGAGGGAATAGTGAGCAGCGTGCCAATGATCTGTTGGCCTCAATTTGCAGACCAGCTGACGAACAGCCGATACGTGAGCGAGGTTTGGAGAATTGGGGTGGACATGAAGGATGTTTGCGACAGAGAGATAGTGGCTCGGATGGTGAATGATGTGATGGAAAACAGGAGAAATGAATTGATGGGCTCTGTTATTGAGACTGCAAAATTGGCTAATACAAGTGTGGAAGAAGGTGGATCGTCCTTCCGTGATTTGGAGCGAATGATCAACGATATTCGATTGCTTTGGAGGAGACGCATAAAGAGGTCATTTCCACCCGCTTAGCATATTTTTTTGTTCATTATATGTTACCAAACCATGTTGTAGCTTGGGGCGGCTTAGTAAGGATTGTGCAGAAATGTAATTTTCAAAGAATTTCTAATTTCTTCCATTGAGAATGCAATTGGAATGGAACCCAAGTAGCCATGTGTTGGGCAAACCTGTTTTGGTCGTCTCCTACATTTGTCCACCATCTTTAATGGACACATGATCCTCCATTACATTTTTCAAAGTAGGAGCAAAGTCTTTAGTCTAATCTTTGGGAGAAGAAAGTTTTGTTTACTCAAGCATGAGTTGGACCTCATTATTGGAATTAGACATGACTGGCCAAAGGTGGCACGGGAAAGTGTTTGTAGTGATGGTAGACTTAGAATTAGGTATTTCGAAGGATGATATGACTATGGGATGGTTGGTGATCGCTCAACAAATTCCACACCTAATATCTTAACCAAACGACACAAATAGACTTCAAATGCTTCCAGCTTGAATCTTTTTCTGAAATCTAGCTTAGCCTATTATATTGGTTCATTTCTCAATTATTCCTACAATTTAGGCTTTAATTATTACCACAAAATCACTGTCTTATTTTAATCTTCTGGACAGAGAACTGATGGTTGTTGGTTCCAGAATTGTGAATGATGAACACAACAGTGAGCTCTTTGTCTTTGAGAAAAATGTATCTCCAACAAGAACGCCAAATTGCTTTATTATCTGATTAACAAGAAAAGTTAGATCAAGTCAATTGCTTCAAGTCCTTCCTTTTCAGTTGTGAAGCTTGGGCTTATGAATACTTATGATCCTTTCTGTATACAATATTGGACAGTCGCCTTTTTTCTTTCACCTATTGATATCACTTTCATGAATTGTAGTGGCTTGGCTTGACGAGGGTGGCAAAGTGGATGGTAAGCAAGGGTCATAACACAGTGGGCGCAAACCCAGATGACGATAGCATCAGAGGAGTTCCCCGTGGCATTGCAGTCTAATTTTTCCTCTTCTACTCTCTTTAAATATCTTCGAACACTACCAACAGACACAACACAACACAACACAACACTGTTAGATATGAGTAAGATTCTCTTTTATACTTAAACGACCCGTTTATCAAATCACATAAAATTTGCACATCTTTTGCTTTTGCCTACTTGTGAAAACAGTAGAAAAGATAAGAGTGAAGGTTGAGTAAATTTCACATCAAGCTTTAAATCTTCATTCTGAAGCATCACGACTGGACAAGCTTTTGATCAAATCACTGCTAGAATTATGCATAAAGAAAAGTGGACTGTAGTTAGATAAGATGGATTTGAGCATGAAATGCAAGAATTTCACACTTTTGGTTGAGTTGCTGCACCAGTTAGAGTGGAGCCTCTATCAAGAGCAGCAGCAGCAGAAGATAAGATAAGATAATATAATGCTAACATGTGATAATGTCTTGTTTATATAATGTGGATTTGGTGTTTGTTGAATAATCTGAAGCCATTATTATAATGAATGTTAGTTACTGATTAATTTAGATATATGCTAACAAAGTTGAAACAAAATCCAAGATCCAGATTGAAGTGGATGCCATTCATGTCGAGTACAGAGGACAGCCCCATTGCTCCAACATAAAACTATTCATAGAAACGTACGGTCGGCGTGGTCGCATGGCATGGGAATGGCCATGCTCCCAATAAGATTGTCTATTGTTTTGGGGGAAAAAAGAACATATATTAAATCACAAAGTTAAAGATTCAAACTTTAATACTAACCAATGTTTATCAACAAATAAGAAGCTCTTGCTTCTACACATAAATCAACAAATAGTTTATTTATATTAGAAGGGTCTATAGCTATATGTTTCAATTAAGAAACCCACAAAAATTATTACAATATCTCTCTGTCCCTAAGTCCCCACTTTCCTATAATTTACTCTTTCTTTCTCTGTTTCCCCCCTTTCTGATGAATGAACGCTGCATTTTTACTCTGTTCTCCATCTAATGAAACCTAACTGGTAACTACAAACCTGCAAACAAATCCTTTTTCCATCTTTAAGTTACAACCCTTAATTCATATCTTTATTGTTCCCTATTCTAAAAGAAAGAACACTTCAATCTTCCCAATGAAAAAGCACTTTTTTTCTTTTTCAACTTTCAGTAGTTTGGTTTGCTTTAGTATGTCCACTCCTGAGGAAGAAGAAACTCATGGCTTTGGCCTCTTTCTGCCGGCCGGGAATAACTCAGCCTCTGCGGTGCGAAAATGGCGTTTCTTTGAGCCATTAAAGCTTCTGAAGAAAATAAAATATATAAAAAAAAAAGAGCTCATTAGCATATTACTATTTAACAGATCTCGAGATGTTTGAATTGTTTCAACATGCTCACCGTAGCTCGGTGGAAGGCGGCGATTTGACGTCATCTGGGGAACAGATCGGTTGAAGTCCTGAACGTTCTTCCCTGGAAGCAGAGTAATCGAGCCACAGTCTGAAGAAACAGAGCAAAAGTTAAGAATCAAGTAAAAATTCGAGAATCCGAAATTCCCAATTTGGTAAAAGAAGAAACAAAAGTACCTGCTCTTTTGCGAGATTGTGGTGGGTTGTTGTCGTATCGGCGAGGCAAGAAGACGCCAGTACCTGTGCACTCCTTTTTGGGGGCCGATCCGCCGCCTTGGTAGGCGGCAGATACAGCGGGAGTACTAGGCTGAGAAGGGTTTCTCCGGTGATGGGGATGCAGAGAAGGCCAAGCGGATTGAGGAAAATCCACAGCACGAACAAAATTCCCATGTTCATGGTGAAAATCTCCCCTTCGGCAATAGATCTGTTGATTCTCAACCTTCACTTGTCTCCCCCAGTTTAAACAGCTTTCCTGTTTATTAATCGGAGGCTCTGTTCCGAACTGAAAACAGAGGAGAAAACAGAGTTACACGATTACAGATCAAAAACAGAAAACAAGGGAGTGAAAAAACGAAGCTAATTTAACTTCACCTGTGAAGGGTGCGAATAAAATCCAGCGTTTCTCATGGATGAAGCAAGCTTTGAAGAACTTTGAGAAGGACCAATAATCCCATCTCTTTGAGTGTTCATTTTGAGTCTCGCAACTTGCCCTGCAGCAGCATAGATAAGATCCCAAGTGTCTTCATCGCCGCCGAAAGGAGTGGTCGGAGGAGACGGCGCCTGAGACGGCCCGTTTGGGCTTCCTTCGCTCGACACCGAGCTCCAAGCCGACCAACTCCCAAACCCACTAAGAGTAGACTGGGGAGAACTAGCCATGGGCGTCTTAGCCTGAAGAAAAAGAAAAAAAAACAGAGTCGCCGGTAAATGAAAAACCCATTGAAGAGACAAAAATGGAGTGAATTAAAGAAAAATCAAAAGATGGGTACTTGGGGCTTGTGGACAGAAGCAGGTTTCAGGGAATCACGAAGAGTGGTGTGAGTAAGGCGGTGCGTCAACGCGGCCAGAAAGTCGCCGTCGTGGTCGTTGTCGTCATCGGCAAGAACAGATCCGAGGGGGGAATGAACAGGGGAGGAGTTGAAGTGATAAGGGAAGTCGGTGGGGAGGTTATGGTGGTCGGACAAAAAGTGGGGAGGGAGGGAGAAGTTGGAAGCAGAGGCCATGGAGAAGGAGAGAGAAAGGGAGAAACGGGGAATTGGGAATTTTGGAGTGAAGAAGAAGGGGAGGGGGGGGATTTAATAATTGGGAGTGGAGGGAGTGAGTTGAGATTTGAAGAAAGAGAAGAAGAAGGAGAAGAGGGACCCAACAAAAGAAGAGAGGGAAACAGAATGTTGATGACAGTGTTTGCTTTTTGTTTAAGGTTTCAGGGTTACTTTGAGACAGTTCAAACTATGAGAGAGAAATGAAGAGAACAGAGGATTTCCACTCTCCAATTCCAATTCCAATTCCAATTCCAATTCCAATTCCAAAGAACTCGAATCATTCAACACTCCTAACCTCAAATATTTGTCTTTTTAAACCTGATATCAATAATTCCGGTTAAGAATCATTTTATTAATAAAGAAAACACATATAAGAATGATTAAGATGAATAATGAGAAATGATTTAGCCGTAATCATCTCCTTATCCACTCCTCCAATAAATTTGGGTTATGTATCGTAGGAATATGATATGAATCCCATTTCTTCCCCCCTAATGGTTGGTGTAGCCATAACCAACACTTTATTTAATATTTGTTTCCCGTCTTATTGGTTTGATTTTAAGATTAGATTAAGCTAAACACAACCTATTCGGTTGTATTAGGAGTTGACTAAGCATCTGAAGTAGATTGTTCTATCGCTAGTTGGATTAAGGTAAGAAATCTTTTAATTGGATAATTTTTTAAATTGTTAGATATATATACATGTATTTGCTCTACAATCTCGTTAGACCTCTCATATGTACAAAGTGATATGATATTTGTAAAATAAAACGGGGGAGATGTTCATTTGTGAATGAGTTATTTATACGGAAATTCAAAAGTCAACTAAAAATATTTAAAAAAAATATATAAAATGAAAGTAGACACGAAACAATTTAAATCTAAAATTTAAAAAAGAAACATAGAAACTTACACAATAATTGTGGAAATATATAATATACTAAAAATAATTTTTTGTTTAAAAAATTGAAGAAAGGAGTGAAGGTTTTAAAAGCAGAGGATATACGCGTCACAGGAAACCCGTGAAATGTTTGAGAGCGCAGTTAATGTTTCCGTCTCAGGACAGAACAGAATCTCCACCGTAAAGATTCGGTAGCTTAACTGTCATCAACTACTGGACGCCGTCTCTCTTACTTTCCCCATTCATTGCCCGGACTTCAATCATTCTATTAATTACAGATAATAAGTTTCCCGCCACCAGGATGAAAAAACGAAAATTATTTAAATACAGATATTAATGTTCATGTCAGAGAACAGAACAGAACAGAATAAATTTGGTATTTTTGGAAATTAATAAAGACACAGGCCCCAAAAGAAGCTCCAAATGGCGACCTGTTCCCCCCACCAGAATTTTTGTTTTATTAATTAAATCAAATATTAAAACATCTACCATTACTTTAAAAATGAATAAAAAAGTTCAAATTTTATTTTTATCTTTAATTTTAAAATTTAAAACGCTATTTTAAAACAAAATAAATATTTTAATTTTCTATGTGATTATAATTCTCGGTGTTGTTTATTTATTTGGTACCGTGTCTTAAGGGTCTCTCACAACACATTCCCCTACACTTTAAACCAATTATTTATTTTTAATTTTCCCACTTCTTTATTTAATCACAATTCAAACTAATATTTAAATGTACAAAATAATAATAATAATAATAAATAAATCCACTAATAAAAAAGGAAAAATCAAAAGTCAAGATTGGTGGGTGGCCAAATTGCAAATCATCGGCTGAAATTAGCAAAGAAATTAATATTTATGGAATCCAAGTTGGTTATTTTGAATTATATTCAATCACTTTGGAATTAATTTCATTCTTGAAGATACCCATAATTGGATCGATTTTACAAATTCTATATTAAAATTCCATTCCCAATTCAATCTAACATTTACATTTAAATTCAACACAAAACACAGTCTCATTTTGTACTTCCCCCTTTCCACAACCACACACCACTTTCTTTTCACTTTAATAACACATATTAGTGATAAATTTAAAATATGAGAATTTATTAAAATCTAACCTATTAACTTTTAAAAAAATTGGAGAATCTTAAGTTATGAAATAGAAAGCGGGAGACTAAATTTGTAATCCAACGTATATATTTTATCATTCTAGAGTCGTTTTTTTTTGGCTATAAAGAGATCCTGTGGGACCCATAACATATGAGAAATCACAGCCGTTGATTGCGTATGAGTTGCAATGGAGATGATATTGGC